GATAGGAAAGGAGGCTTCTCGGTAGGCCTTTGGTGAGCTAAGCTTGATAGTGAAGCACCAGAACACAGGGATGAGAGCACTGCTTCAATGTGGAAGAGATTTTGGACTTCCCTGTGAAAAAACTGTCCACCCTGGTCTTTTGGGGACAAGTTTGATGATGGGAAGTCAGTGGAGGGTATGTTGTGGAGACTTGCAGGACAATACAGAATGTGTTGCAGGGTGCGTGATCAAACGGAGTAAAAAGGCCACATGAGGGGCCAGAATATGGACAACCCTGGTTGCGCAGGTGCCATCAAAGCCTGGTTTGACCTGTATAACTTTTAGGATTGGTGATGATGAAAAGATGGAAAGAGCCCAGCTTAGCCTGAGTCTGCACTCCTCACTTCCATTTCCAAAGTCGCAATGGTGGCACCATCTTTTCTGCTACTAAACTCTTCCCTAGGCCTGGAACATGCCAGAACCCCAGCCTCCTTCCCACATCCTGCTATAAGTCAAGCTCCATGACATTGTGGAACAGGGTTCTGTGGTTTGCATGGGGTGTGGAGGTCCCCATGTAGCTCTTCCATGGCATCACCACCCAGAAGAGTGGACGTTGTCAGCTTTGCTACTCTAGGACCTTCTCCACCCACAACGGGATGGGGGCAAGCATAGCATTTGATTCACACTAACTGAATCCATTTAAAACTCTTTACATTTAAACATTTATTTTTAATCTTCAAAGCTGCAGGGGTGATGAAAGCTTTGGTGGATCATCAAGGGATGTTCATGAATGTGTACACAAGGTGGCCCGACAAAGAGCATAATGCCAGAATTTTCAAAAACAGCGGACATGTGACGAGCAGAGAAAGGGGAACTGTATTCCTACTAACAACACTGACATATTACCACTGTGATTCTGGATGACTCTGTATACCCATTTTTGCCACGGCTAATAAATCTTTTCATAGTTACAACAAACCCAAAAAGATGCACATCCACTAATAAATCCAGCAGGTGCAGCATGGTGATGGAATGCGCATCCAGGTAACTGGAAGTAAAATGAAGATGGTTGTTGACCTGCAATGACTGTTCAGTGACTAATGTTCGAATTTTCATACCCAATACATTTTGTATAGCATATGTGAAAGCAAACGTGAAGTTTTTAATTAACAATGGAATGCGAAGGCAGCTGGATTGGTATAAGTTCATGCACATACAGTCACACAAGCAACTGTTCTTGAGCCTGTTAGCATAGCCTGCACTCAGCATGCTGCACAAATTAGAACTACTCTGTGCATAGATTATCAGACTGATGGTGCAGAACTGTATGTGAAGCAAACACAAAACACAAGAACCAGAGGTCCCATAACACAAGAACCAGGAGTTACTCAATGAAATTACCAGGCAGCAGGTTTAAAACAAACATAAAGAAGTACTTCTTCACACAACACATAGTCAACCTGTGGAACTTGTTGCCAGGGGATGTTGTGAAGGTCCAAAGTATAACTGGTTCAAAAGAACTAGGTAAATTCATAGAGAATAGGTTAATCAATGTCTATTACTCAAGATAGTCAGGGATGCAACCCCACGCTGTGGGTGTCCTTAAGCCTCTGACCGCTAGCAACTGGACGATATATTCCCTATCACTTGATAATTATCCTGTTCTGTTCATTCCCTCTGAAGCATCTTGCACTGGCCACTGGTGGAAGACAAGACACTGAGCTAGATGGACAATTGGTCTGACCCATTGTAGCCATTGTTATGTTCTTAAGTAGTAAATGTCATTTTATGTTGTGATGCTGTGGTATGTCTTTTTATGTATTAAAAACATCCTTCTCCTATTTCCTCAAAATCTCTTTATTTGTACATTGAAGATCTTCATAGAGGAGTGGATTATTGTGGTGTTGTAGTGGGTTTATACTCTGGGTTGTTTCATGAAGGATGAATGTTATAATGGCAAGGTAGTTTATTGAAGAGTGAATTGATGATGTATTGTTATTAATAACAGTATCTTTGACATGTAAAATTCACAGAACCTTTGTTTTCAAGAATAAAAGTTATTGCACAAAAGAGGGTTGCAGCAGGTCAGCTGCCATATAAAATAATATGTACAAGAGCAGGGTCAACATAAATGTTCTCTTCTCTGCACATAAAATATATTTGGATATAGCTTTTCTTTCATACTATTGCAGGTAGCTGAAGTGCCTGGAAAAATGTCATGAAGGAGCTAAAAGTAGGGGGCAGTCAAGTAACTACTAATGTCCTGATTGATGCCAGGATATTGGGCAGGTGATACGTTTTAGGTTCAGGCCAGATTTTCAAAGATATGTATGTGACTAAAGATGCAAAGGGGTGCCCAGTGGGATCTTCTAAAGCACCTAAGCAGTTTTGTTATTTAAATCCTATTGATTTCAAAGGAAGTTAGGCAACTAACTTGCTTACACACTTTTGGAAAATCCCATTAGGCATCTATATGCATCTTTAAGTGACTAAATACCTTTGAAAATCTGGTCCTCAGTCTCTAAGGATATGTCTACACTATGGAGATGATACCGGCACAACTATGTCTGCATATGTTATGCTGGCATAACCCCATAGTGTAAACGCAGCATAACATCTGATGAAGTGAGCTGTAGCTCACGAAAGCTCATGCTCAAATAAATTGGTTAGTCTCTAAGGTGCCACAAGTACTCCTTTTCTTTTTGCGAATACAGACTAACACGGCTGTTCCTCTGAAACCTGTGTCATTAACAGAAGTGTTTTTTCTGCCAGTGTAGGAACACCACCTCCCCAAACAATGTTAGCTACATTAATGGAAGCACTCTTCCATTGATATAGCTGCATCTACACTGGAGGTTATGTCAAGATAACTACATTGGTCAGGATTTTTTCACACCCTGACTGACGTAGTTATACAAATATAACTTTCAAGTGCGGCCAAAGCCTAAGTAGCCCATTCTTTGGCAGAACTGAACACTTTTGCAGGATGTGGCATGGAAGCACTTTCTACTCCTGCTGCCTATGCTGTACCTAGTTTGTGGAGAACTAGAGGACTTGCCTCATTCACCAGTTAACACTAAATTTACTTTATATATCGTTTTGTATTTTGTTAAAGCAGTTTTATTTTTAATTACTGAAAGGTTCTAAATGTGAAAGTTCATTTTAGACCAAAGTAAAACTGTTACTTCCAAGTTATGGCAAAAGCAGATAACATCTAACTTTAGTCATTTAGATCAGCGGTTCTCAAACTGTGGGTCGGGACCCCAAAGTGGGTCTCGACCTCTTTTTGATGGGGTCACCAGGACTGGCTTAGACTTGCTGGGGTCCAGATCCGAAGCCCAAGCCTCAGGGCTTTAGCCCTAGGCGGCGGGGCTCAGGTTATAGACCCCCTGCCTGGGGCTGAAGCCCTTGGTCTTCAGCTTTGGCACACGTAGGGCAGCAGAGCTTGAGTGGGCTCAGGCTTCGCTCACCCCTCCTGGGGTCGTGTAGTAATTTTTGTTGTTAGAAGGCGGTCACGGTGCAATGAAGTTTGAGAATCCCTGACTTAGGTGACCAATTCAGAGAAAAAAATTTTAAATGGCATGATTTAAGTAAATCCTGATTCAGAAAACTGCCACCTGAAGCCACAGACATAATTTGTCTTGATACTAGTGTATTTTCATGGACATGGTGTATTTGAGAGGCAATATGAAACTGCTAAAACACCACATGGCTTTTCCTCAGTATATATTACCACATCCTCTGCCAAGCGGTATTTTTCACTGTCTGTGGTTGAGAACTGGCATAAATGAACATGCTCTACTCAGAGTAGCTGGAATGTTTATTAATGCTGTGATTTCACTTTATGTCCATCTAGATACAGAGACCTATTTCAAGGCCCCCTATCTCAAATGTTGCAATCCTAAAGGCCACACCATGAAAGATTTCCAAGAATCTAAGGACTGCATCTTTTATCTTTTTTGCCTATTAGGTGCTTTGATACTACAGAGAAGAAGCCATACCAGTTTCTAGATAGAAAGATTTAAATAGACATATAAATGTACATAGGATATCTTTTCAATTAAAAATAGGTACACATGGGTGTAATATTTGTATCTTCCTTGAGAGATATATAGAAATTGTTTGAATTCATGGTCAATAAAAACCTAGAGTTGCTCAGCTTTTTCCTCACTGAGCAGTTACAGGGAAAAGATTACTGTGTGCAGCAGTTTAAGATTCCATAGTGCACTCTTGTTCCAGGAGTACAGAATAATCTACCCTTCCTTTAGAAAATGAAGCTGAAAGCTGTGAAAATATTCTGAGTTAATAAAAGTGGTGAAGTGATATTGATGCACAGTGCCTTGCTAGCATATATATTGTTTTATCTGAAACAAACTACTTGTTTCAAAACATTTCAGTGTATGATTTTCAACAAGAAAACTTCGAGTGAATGATTCTGCATGAGGTGCATTACCCAAACTGCCTCTCATTATCTGAAAGTCTGTCACGGCTCCCAACAAAATTGCACCCAGACTTACATAACACTCCCTTCTTCTACAGTTTTGGAATCTGATATATTATTACTTACTATACGTGTATGATCTGTTATGTCTGTGTAAGTAATACATTATAAGTTCTTTGGGGCAGGGACCATTTTTCCTTGAGCTTTTGTACAGCATTGAGCACACTATTAGAGCTTGCTAAATAATAAATAAAGTTAATCTATAAACTCATTCATAAACCCAAGATTGAAATGTACAGCATTTATCTGAGAGTGAACATTTCATGGGTCCTGTATAAATGACCTACGTACAATCTGCACATGGAGATTGTTTGATGGGAAATAGTAGTACTTCCTCCAATCTCCATATCACCTGGGAATCTGTTAAAATGTTCAGACCTCAAACTCATATTTCTCTGTTTGTATATCACGTAGCACACGGGAGCATGATCCTAATTAAAACTTCTAGGCACGAACATAACACAATCAAAGGAAGAAGAAGATCTTTAACTATTGTTTTCATCATGCAACCCCTGTTTACCTCCTGTTTCTTCATGAGGTTGACTGTGCTCTTTCATATCTTCCCTACTATCCATGTTTTCCATCTCCTGGAATTTGTTCACATTACAGTCTTTCAAAACTTCCTGTCCTTCTGAAGAAAAGAAAATGTTAAATGATAAGTAACCCTTCAATAGCATCTTCCATGTGATTATCTCAAGGCACTTTGCAAACTTTAAAATAATTTTCACAACACTCATGTCAGTCACCATTTTACGGATGAGCAACATAGCTCAATGATTATGATCATTCACTGAGTCACGGATAGAATTGGGAACAGATCCCCAAAACCATACACCCTTCTAAAACAGCAACTATCACCAATGCTATAGAATATACATCTAAAAGGAGTGTTAATCTATTTTTCAGACTTAAATATTCTGGAACTGTTCTGAGTCAGGTTAAAACAGATAAAAACTGAAGTATAAGTAATTATATTTAATATGCCGTAGGACCTTGCTAATGTGTCCTAATGACTAGGAAACCCATTGCAAATTAGTTAATTTTATGAATTAGCAGATAAATAAACAAGAACTTTAAATAAAGCATAGAAAATGCTCACAAGATGTACTTTGCTCATATGGGGCTCAATCCTGCAAGATGCTGAAAACTCTGGCCCTTATCTAGTAAAGTGCTTGAACACATGCTTAACTTTAACCACGCGAGTAATCTCATTGAACCCAATGGATTTGTATCCGTGCTTTTGGAAAAATCACCCCCTTAAATAGGAAAATTGTTAACTATATCACTGGTGATCACTTTGGCAGAAACAGCAATTAATGTGCTTATCCCACAATTCCAAATTGCCTCCCAGGCAGAAAAAGGCCCAACTATCACTTAACCAGATACCAAAACCTCCAGCTTCATTTCTAAAACCTTTTCTTTTGTCCATGAGCAATGATAATTCTGAATCACATTCTTTTAATTTCTTGTCTATCACACTATTTTCTAAAATTCTATTGCCCTCTTATGCATTTACTTCAACTCAAGAGTTTAATTTTCTGTCCTGTAATGTCCATCTTAAGTTTTGTAATGTATCATCTAGTTCTAGTACATTGTGCAATTCTTCCATTTTTATTCCATTTAAAATTAACTAAGATTTTAAAGAGGAGGGTGAGAGAAAGCTTAAGGGTACAGTACCTGTAGCCACTGACTGTTCCTGAGAATTACTTAGATCCATACCTGACTGTGTATCTGGAAAGGACACAGACAAAGTAAATACTAGCAGCACTGTAAATTGCTAATAATATTTTTTAAATGATCTCTGCTCTAACAAAGCTAGAAGAGTATAATTTATTATGAATAAACCTAAACAGCAAAATTGACATTAATAATCTAAAGAAAGAGCTATCAAACAATAATTTTTATCAAGTGGAACTTGTACAATATAATTAATTTATACCCATTCTTTTTCTATAGCTCGACTAGTGTTAGGTGTCCAAAACAAGCAAACAGCATTCTTCCTTTTACAGTTTCTCAGTGTTACCGAATCAAATCATCTATGTTTTCCATTTAAGACCTCATTCTGAATGCAGCTTGATGGTAGTAGCTATGCATGGGAGGGATTTCTGTGGAGCAGAGTACTAGACGCTCCTAGATTCCCTTATTAACAAAAAGGAAAAAAGCTCCTATTAATTTTGTTACATCAATTTTGTTTAAATAGGGGTGCAAAACTAACTTTGTTTCTGAATTCTCATAGGGATACTGGGGCAGAGATTTTAAAAAACTGGAGACTAAAGATAGGCTCCTAAGTCTGTATTTAGGAACATATATATGTGGTGTGATTTTCTAAAGTGCTGAGCACCCAATAGGTCCCTTTGAAATCAGTTGGAGCTACAGGTTCTCAGCACCTCTGAAAATGACTTAGTAGCTTAAGTAGTCATTGATTTTTTTAAATCCTGACCTGTGTAGATCAATGTACTGCACTTTCTAGATGCCTGTACTGTCATGACAACTTACAAATGTGGCTGATATTAATATTCACCTTTTTAATGGTGCCGTAGCTCCCTGTTCCTTTATTTCCTCTTTCCTTCACTATTTTTGTTCCTTTACATGTCAAAAAAATCTTGAATTGTCTTTACATAATCAAACAAGAGACCCAGAGCACATAAAACTCATTCCTGACAGTTACATAACAGAAATGCACATACTGTGGCAGTGAGGTGTTAACCACTACTGACATTTACCCCATAATTATCTATCTTTACCACCACTGTTTATGGAACATTTTTGTGGTCTCTTCAACATCAAAATGTAAAGCTTTGGTAACTAAAAAGTAAAGATGCCTGGCACTGCATCAGGTTATCCTAAAAATTCTGGGCGAGTGTGACCTTACTGACCTGCTCAGCTTAGTAAAAGTAAGTTAAAAAAAAAAAAAAAGTTTTGTACCTGCCTGATAAAGTTGCTAAAAATTTTGGATCTATTTTGGTCTCTTAAATGCTTGTGTTTAGCTTTCATTTCTCAAATATTTTATCTGTGTCGCTCCCACTATGGTTAAACAGTAATGAGCAGTAAACAGCAAGAAAAAAATTGATCCTTTTTAAGAGTGGGATTGTCAGAAGTATTCAGCACTGGCCTAACTCTTCTCCCATTGAACTTAAATGGGAGCACTTAGGCCAACACTGAATACTTATGAAAATCTCATTTTAAAATTAAATCAGAATCCCTATCTTCTCTCTCTTATTTAGTTATATGTGTCATTTCCATAGTGTTTATTAGCCAAGGATCCCAAAATACTTTACAGACATTAATGAGGCCTCTGAAACTCCCTGTAAATTAGGTAAATATTATTATACACATTTTACAGATGGGGGGAAATTTAGGTATAGAAAAATTAAGTGATCCATTCAAGGTCAAACAAACTCAGAGGCAGACTCCAAAACAGCACCAAAAAGTACTGGTTCTCAAGCCAGACCAGGGTGGCCAACTTGATCCTGAGAAGGAGCCAGAATTTACAAATGTACATTGCCAAAGAGCCACAGTAATACATCAGCTCCCCCACCCTGCTCCCAGTGCCTCCCACCCACCGGCAGCCCCACCGATCAGCGCCTCCTCCTCCCGATCAGCGGTTTTGTGGCACGCAGGAGACTGGGGGGGGGGGGGAGGAGCAAGGGCTCTGCAGGCTCAGGGGCAGGAAGGGGTGGAATGGGGGCAGGCCCTGTGGCAGAGCCAGGGGTTGAGCAGTGAGCACCCCCCGGCACACTGGAAAGTTGGCGCCTGTAGCTCCAGCCCCAGAGTCGATACCTGTACAAGGAGCCGCATAGTAACTTCTGAAGAGCCACATGTGGCTCCGGAGCCACAGGTTGGCCACCCCTGAGCTAGACCATAATATTTATTCTAGGGCTGTTGATTAATCACAGTTAACTCACGCGATTAACTCAAAATTAATCGCGATTAAAAAAATTAATCAGTGTTTTAATCGCTCTGTTAAACAATAGAATACCAATTGAAATTTATTAAATTTTTGGATGTTTTTCTATATTTTCATATATATTGTAGTCTGTGTTGTAATTGAAACCAAAGTGTATATTATTTTTATTACAAATATTTCCACTGTAAAAACGATAAACAAAAGGAATAGTATTTTTCAATTCACCTCATACAAGTACTGTAGTGCAATCTCTTTGTCCTGAAAGTGCAACTTACAAATGTAGATTTTTTTGTTACATAACCACACTCAAAAACAAAACAATGTAAGACTTCAGAGCCTACAAGTCTACTCTGTCCTACTTCTTGTTCAGCCAATCGCTAAGACAAACACATTTGTTTACATTTACATGAGATAATGCTGCCCTCTTTTTATTTACAATGTCACCAGAAAGTGAGAACAGGCATTTTCATGGCACATTTGTAACTGGCATTGCAAGGTATTTAAGTGTCAAATATGCTAAACATTCTTATGCCCGTGCATGCTTTCGGCCACCATTCCAGAGGAGACATGCTTCCATGCTGATGATGCTTGTTAAAAAAATAATACGGTAACTACATTTGTGACCTAACTCCTTGGGGGAGAATTGTATATCCCCTGCTCTATCTGCATTCTGCCATATATTTCATGTTATAGCAGTCTCTGATGTTGTTCATTTTAAGGTTTCAAAGTAGCATCCGATGAAGTGAGCTGTAGCTCAAGAAAGCTTATGCTCAAATAAATTTGTTAGTCTCTAAGGTGCCACAAGTACTTTTCTTTTTGTTCATTTTAAGAACACTTTCACTGCAGATTTCACAAAACTTTTCACAAATGCTTTCAGAAGTCTTAAAAGAGCAACACTCTGATGCGGAAACTACAGAATCCAAACCACTAAAAATAAAAATCAACCTTCTGCTGGTGGCATCTGAATGAAAATGCATCAGTCCACACTACTCTGGGTTGTTATTGAGCAGAATCCGTCATCAGCATGGACGCATGTCCCCGGGAATGGTGGTTGAAGCATGAAGGGACATATGAATCTTTAGCGCATCTGGCACATAAATATCTTGCGATGCCAGCTACAACAGTGCCATGAGAATGCTTGTTCTCTCTTTCAAGTGACATTGTAAACAGGAAGCGGGCAGCATTATCTCCTGCAAATGTAAATAAACTTGTCCGCCTAAGCGACTAGCTGAACGAGAAGTAGGACTGAGTGCACTTACAAGCTCTAAAATTGTACATTGTTTTATTTTTGAATGCAGTTTGTTTTTTTACATAATTCTATATTTGTAAGTTCAACTTTCATGACAAAGAGATTGCACTATAGTACTTGTATTAGGCGAATTGAAAAATACTATTTCTTGTTTTTTTTTTACAGTGCAAATACTTGTAATCAAAAATATATATAAAGGAGCACTATACACTTTGTAGTCTGTGTTTTCATTGAAATCAATATATTTTAAAATGTAGAAACTATCCAAAAACATTTAAATAAATGGTATTCTATTATTGTTTAACAGTGTGGTTAATTTTTTTAATTGCACGATTAATCGTGTTTAATTTTTTTTAATCGCTTGACAGCCTTAATTTATTCATGTCTCTTCATCCCTTCTAAGTCACCATGAGATCTCTATATGCGATCTAAAGCAGAGATATTCATAAAGACAAAGATGTCATAATGTAATTCCTAAACATAAAGAGCTAATATCTCTCCCTCTCTTAAATCATTTGTTTTTCATTTAACGGCTATGGGATGTCACAGCTCTGAAATCTAATAACTGAATGCCATGTCCAGATTTATATGAAGTCTGATAATTCAGTAATATCTGGATTGTGGGAATAACTTAGCATTTTGACCTCTTCCTGGTCACTTCTGACTCTTTTTGATTTCTGAATAGAGTTGCATGTTGCGAAATAAAGTCTTCCAAAGTTAATGTTTGAATGTGTAGTTCAAGAAAGAACTTAAGCATATGCTTGAGTGTCTAAGTGTTTTCCTGAATTGGGGCCCAAATTAGAAGGAAAGTAATTGGGGGGGGGGGCGGGGTTGGTTGTCCATGCTAATTTCTATAAAATAATGTTATACTTTTAAATGCTTCACAATAAATGCCCTAAAGGTTGCCTTGAAGGTACTTCATTTTGTATGACAGTTTTTTCCACTAAGAGACAAGGTGGGTAAGGTAACATTTTTTATTGAACCAGCTTCCGTTGGTGAGAGAGACAGTTTTTGAGCTACACAGAGCTCCTCTTCAGGTCTGGGAAAGGAATCATAGAATCATAGAATCATAGAATATCAGGGTTGGAAGGGACCCCAGAAGGTCATCTAGTCCAACCCCCTGCTCAAAGCAGGACCAATTCCCAGTTAAATCATCCCAGCCAGGGCTTTGTCAAGCCTGACCTTAGGAACTCCCAGCATCACAGCAAAATGCAAAGTCGAACAGATTATTTAGCATAAGTAGTTAGTACATATTTTCCACTGGTTTTCTTGCCCATACATTTCACCAGGTACCTTATGTAATGAAAAAAGAGATCCCTTAGGTCAAAGACTTTCAGACAAGACATCTTCTGAAGAACAACCACCAGGGAAAGCTAACATTTGTCTTCAATCCCATTTACTACCGATATCAAATAACCACTTGATATGTTGATCATCAACTAAATAGAAAGGCTAAGTAGTTTTGTTCCATTAATGTTCATTTCCTTCTGTTTTACTCTCCGACTTTTTGGGCAACCATTTGCCGATCTGGTGGGCATCATTCACATGCAGTATTTACTGTACTTGTTCCACATG